AGTGGATATACATAAGGTACAGCTGGTCTTTGGAGGTTTTAAACCTCTTTTGTTATTAAATTTCTCTCTTGTACATACAAGTGTTGTTACTCACAGCATTTTGGAAGACATATTAGATTTTTTTTGTCCTAGGACGCTAGGAAGCAGTGAATTTTTTTTCACGTGATTTCAGGCTAGACCTAGGGGTTGCGGCATTATCACATAGATAAAATCCATTGGTGATTAGGCGGGATTTGAACCCGGGACCTCTGGAACCAAATTCCTGCACTCTAACCACTAGACCAGCTCGCTCCCCCAGACATATTAGATTTAGGACTAAATTTCGAAGTAGTAGTAGTAGTGGCCAAGTATACTGATACAAAGCCAGAACCATTATTAAAATTGTAACAATGTTTTCCATCTTTCCAAAACTTGTTTTTCCTTTCATAATTGTTAGTGCAACTATTTTAACCGACACAATTTATCATGTAGGTCCTCAAGAAATATTCTGCTACAACTGATGTCTGGATTCTTGGTAGATGTAAAGTATTTAATTATTCTCGTTTAGGTTCTGTGACCCGTTTCTCCATAACATTTGCCGCAGCTAATCTCAATGTAGTATACTCCCGAAGACTACAAGAGTACCAAGAACACTAGTTACAAGTTCCTCATCATGATGAAATAAATTTGCAGTCCCAGGGTACTCTGTATGAAGCTGCTAATGACAAATGTTGTGTCTCCAGGTACCTCACTATCAACGTGGAGGCACCATAGTTCCTCGTAGGTTCAGAGTCCGAAGATCTTCATCTCTGACACACGAAGATCCGTACACACTTATTGTGGCGCTTGGCATCAATGTAAGACAGAAATCAGCATTACTTGTAAAACTCATAATCATACTCAGTTTATGTAGAAAATGTTTAAAATCTTTGTTCTACAGGCTATCATCGCCTTTTAAATTAGGCCGAAGTATCTTGCCAACATTTTAGAATATGTTTTTTATATACACAACTTTCCATAGCCTTAGGTTTTATAAGGAAATTCTAGTGGCTGTTAAGATTTTTTTTTAGAGAGATGGTTTAGTTAGCTTACTTGAGCGAGTTGAACCCAAAATGTTTACCCGAGCCAGTTGGAACCCAAAAATATAGAGATACAAACAAAGTTCATCAAAAACATTCATTTTTTTTTGTTTTTTTTTAGGATTTAATTATATTTGATAAATTTTGCTATCCACCCCCTTTAAAAACAAACTATGACGAAATATAAGTTCTACATTGTGCGACTCTTTTCATCTGTAAGACCCTGAATGGGTTGTGCTAAATAAATAACCATCCCTTTCTAAAAATAACCCACTGAACTACACAACAAGGGTTTTAGGTTAGGTGCCTCTCTTGTGTAGCCTTGTCAGATACTATGACTACACAATTGCGTACATAAATGATTTCATGTTGACAGGGTACTGCTCACGGTAATCTGTACATTGATGACGGAGAAACATTCCAGTACCTACACAACCAAGGACTCTACTTAGACTTCAAATTTGAGAACAATCAACTCTCTTCGTCGTAAGTTTTTGTTTTTATAATTATAAACTGCAGTGGAGAAGTAAATAAATTAAATTACACTCTCACTCAACAGCTGACTTTTTGTGGTCATTTGGTAGTTGGTTAATGTGTAATGGGTTAAAACATTGCTATGGTAGATTATTTTAAGTTTTAAAAGATTAACTATGTAATTTCACTTCCTAATAATTTCCTTTTAAAATGTTCACAGCCTCAACAGTTACCGAGACTTCAATAATTATGAAGCTGTTATTTTATTTTGTATTGTATATTGTTGTTTCCCTGTAACCCTAGACCTGGTTGGTTTACCTGTCTGAGTGATAAAAAACAGATTCTGTAACAACTCTGACTATTACCTGGTAGTGAATTAAATGTCATATTTATGTTGTTTAGGTTTGCACTGCCAAACCATCACTACCCCACCAAGGCTTGGCTGGAGAGGGTGGTTATAGTTGGACTACCTCCGGGAACTAAGAAAGCAAAGGCAGTTTCTAGTGGTAAGTGACGATAATTCTTGCTTGAATATGCGAGAAAAATTGCTAGGCAAATGTGTCAGTGTTTTGTGTCGTAATGAAATGAAATAATGAATAACTTTATAGAAGTCAAACGGTTTGTTGGTTTGTAATAAAATTAGTTTTCGCTGACTACTGGTTAATTAATTTGTTGTACCAAAATTGAGTATGATAACGAGATTGTTAGTTTTTTTTACCTTGGAATTTAAAATATTGATAGTAGTAAAAACATTGATGATTTGATCTTTTTTGTCTTAAAATTAGGGATGGACGGGATTGAATTTTTAGTTCGGGATGGGATTATTATTTCCTTCCCAATTTTCGGGATGGGATTTTTTCCTGTGCATATAAAGAAAGTATTGAATATTGCAGTTACCGAACAAGACAAACAAAATCAATTTTTACCATTTGTGGAACTGATCTATAAAAAAAAAAATGGGTAAAAATTTACGGGTATAGAAACTTGTGACTCATGGTCACAATGACTCGCAGTCACGGTGTGATCGTCAAAATGACTCGCGGTCACGGTGGGATCTTCGGTATGACTCGCAGTCTTGGCGGGATCGTCCGTATAACTCCGCGGTCACGGCACGATTGTGGGTATGACCCCACGGATCGGTATAACTCCGCGGTTACTTTGCCATCGTCGGTTTGACTCCGCGGTCCCGGGTTAATCGTCAGTAAGACTAGCGGTTTCGACGGGATCGTCAGTATGACTCCGCGGTCACGACGCGATCATCGAAATGACTCTGCGGTCACGGCGTGATCGTCGGTATGACTCCGCTGTCACGGGGTGATTATCAGTATGACTCACGGTCACGACATGATCGACGGTATGACTCCGCGGTAACTTCGCGATCGTCGGTATGACTCCGCGGTAACTTCGCGATCGTCGGTATGTCTCCGCGGTCACGGGGTGATTATCAGTATGACTCACGGTCACGACATGATCGACGCTATGACTCGCGGTCGTCGGTATTAGAGTTCCTTTTGCCTAAATGATGATAAGGTCTGCTGAATACTTACTTTGCCAACTATAAGAGTTCTAGTGTTTTATAACAATAAAACTTTCTATAAACATGTTGACAAATGGTTTAATTTTTCAGATGGGAAGTCAATAGAGTTAGAGACGCTGTATGACAGCTCTCTCCAGCTTCTGACAGTAAGGAAGCCTGGACTGAGTATGGCGTCGGAATGGAAGATCACTCTTCTGTAACACAACGCTAACAATCGACTGAGACTCTTAAATGTTTTATATGGCCCTTTATACAAACATTGAGCAGTTACAGGGATCGATACAGTGCGGGTGTTTGTATCTATTCTTATCATTCGGTTATTTCTGGTGATAAATAGTGTAAGTTTCCAGTGTTAGTTTTAAGTTAGATATTGTCAATTTATTGTTAGGTAGTTTGAAAATTTGGTTGTGTTTTGTGAGTAACTTTCATCTTTTTTTACTAGTTTTGAATGGTTTCTTATTTACTGATGTATGACATTGGCTTGCTTGTCTTCAAAAGTTTGTAAGAGGTATTCGTGTCCGTTTTCTTTTATCTTTCGCCATTATTAAAATAAAGTTCATATTACTCTTAATATTTTAATACGATATAATTAATTATTTCCTATTTATAATAAAACAAGAATATTTTACTGGTTTCCTTTCAATAAATTAGAGAATTAAGAATTTAAAATTGAGTTGAACCATGGCACACTGTCGATAATCTAATCGGTTGTTTAGAACAAGCAATTTTAACAATGGTGTGTAATAGTGACGTACAAAACACAAGTTGCACATGAATTCACAAAACTTTTGTAGTATATGATGGTATCATAGACTCAACGTTTTATTTATGGTTCTACTTAAATAGTTTTATTACTATTTTTTTATTGCCACACATTTATTTGAGCTCAAGATACAAGTAATATATATATTTTTTATTTTATTGTACGGTAATGATGTAACTGTAGTTTTACCTTTTTAATGTGCTGTAAGAAATAAAAATAATTGTAATTTTTTATCGGAAAAAATCATTTTTTTCATGGATATGAACAAAAACATCAGATGGCCTGTTATATGTATACAAGTTGTGAAAAAGAAAATAAAACATTTTCACACATATTTGTTGTTGTATGTATTACAACCAATCACCCTTACTACTACCTTTACTAAGACTCAAAAGTAGAACCAATCAAAATTCAATTTACATTTCAAGTAAGTACTTGTAACACAGATTTGGGATATTTGACCTAAAGAGTTGAAAGAAAGTGTTTGCAAGCTCCAGTCAAAGTCGTGAATCAATTATTTAAGATGGGGACGCCACTATGTGCGTATTTTAACCCAAATATGAGTGTAGGATGAGTGGCGCGATCTTGTAGTCTTGTTAGTGACTAAGGCCTACATATTCCTTAGACACAGCTGTTAATTAATAGCCCATACAGCTAATGGCAACTAAGGGACCTACAGTTTATAGTGGAATCCGAACCACACTTTTCCTTTGTAATTAACAAATTGGTCTAATTATCAGGATAGTACTGCGGATAGTCGTAGTACTCACTAGTGTGGATGTTAATCCACACCAGGGAGCATCGCATCCACAGTGCATGCCTATAAATATCCACAATTCGTGACCTCCTAGTAGCTGGATTACAGGACGACGCCATCCGTCCCAGTCCATTAAGTTTGAAGCATCGTTAGTGTGACTAAAAATTATACTTTTATTTTTCAATTGGAGTTAACAAAATATCAAATATGGTACTGATGTTCGGGTTTTGTCATATTTCCAACTTGCTTATTATTGGTTTTTTTAAATGATGTGTTTGTTAAACGAAGAGTAGACCTTGAACTTGAAAAGAGTGAAAACCTTACTCCGGGTTTAACCAGGGAAAATGGAAATATTGGGATTATAACAACAGTTTTTTGTCCATCATTTATGTTTAAATTTAGTCTAGTAATACAAAACACAAACGACTTTTACTTACTAACAAATTTAATAGTTAACATTTTGTATTTAGTAGTCTTAGGTAACATTGGAAGATTCTCGCTCACATAATTGATTTGTATGTCTTCGAGGTCCGTACAAACACCACCTGATCAACTGCTGAAGTCTCCTTCTGTCATTCAGGATATCTTCTCCAATTAGTGCCTTGGCCTCTTCGGACTCAAAAATCATTGATATCAGGCTTTCTGTCACCATCTTTGGAATTTTGATGTTGTAATAGAGTAAAATCTGAAAATATAATTCAAATACAAAGGTGTTCAGGTGTGTTTTGATAGACTGAACTTGTTAGTTAGGAGAAATGGATTTTAATTTTACTGATGTAATGAATTTATTTTGTGAATTTCTGTAGGGAATAAGCTATTACCAGAGGTCTCGTAGTAAGATGACGTGGGGCAGTTAATTTTTTTCAAACATTTCAAAATCATATACATACGAGGGCTGTTTAGGAAGTAAGAAACGTTTTTGAATAAAACGTTTGTCTATTTAAAATATATTAGAAAGAGCAACTTTAGTTCGGCCGCTTAGAAAGCGACCTCCTCCAGCATTGGTTTAGCATTAGCGCGCAGGTCGTTTTCTAAGCGGCCGAACTATAAAATACTACTTTTCTACACAGCGGCCAAACAAATGTGTTAAAGGAGGCATTTATCAATGTGGTGGATGAGCGAGGAATTCGGCTGCCTGCTACTTCAGCTCCAGGGTGGCATGCAATTAAATAGAGATCCTCATTGTAATCAAAGCGCTTTGGTGCTCACCAAAGCTTATTTTTAATGTACAAAATGAGTAAAAAAGTCATCTAAGCCAGGTCTGGACTGTGGTGTGTGTGTGTGTGTGGTTTGGCAAAATCTCTATTTTTAATTATTAAAGGAGATTGAGTGTGTGATTTGACATGAAATATTGTCTTGTAAAAAATTAAAGATTTTAGACCATAACTTTAGTTTATTTTGAAACTGAATGCACCATTAATTCCTGACAGTACTTTAATTTATTATTTTTTTTACACTTAACACCCATGACAATAAATTTCTATGGGTGCTAAGTGTATTCCAACGAAACCGTACTACAGACTGCACAACTGGTGGTGTTTTTAATTCTATTACACTTTTTAAACTTTAATATTGTATCAATGACACTTGCTCTGCATCACTGGAGTGGCTATCCAAGCAACAAGCATAACTGATTTATAAAATTTACCCAAACTGCTGCGTTAAATGTTTAAGCGCTCACCTTGCTGTTGAATGTAACATATACAAAGCAGGGAGATGGAGTGCTGTCAGCTGTTAGAGAGTACAGTCCAGCACAGAAGCTGGACACTGACTCTTCCAAGTGGAATCGGACACTGTTCTTCTTCTGGTCGAGGATGTAGGTCTGTCCGTCCCACGAGCAGGCGACTATTTCATCCTGCCCGTCTCCAGTAATATCAAGCTTGCTCAGCGCAAACAACTGATGATCTACTTGATAAGACCTGCAAGAGAAACAGATGGTTACTTGAATTCCATGATGTAAATTACATGTTTCATACATTCCTGCAATGTAGCCTAAATAGAATGTTGGTGGTATATTTTCCACTCATGCTGTATACAAATATAAGACAAAGAATGCTGTTGAAGATGCATACAGATGAGAATAACATCCCAACTAAACAAATAATTACTTGAAGTTTTAAGACTCCAAAGAAATAGACAATAGGCCTTCAATTTAAGTATTTTTTACGATGTTAACTAACACAGTGAAAATGCAATATAATCTAAAAAGTTTTAGTGCCTATTCGGTATTGTTGTGTGTTATTTTAGGAGTTACCAGATGATTTCTTCATCCTTGACGAACATGAGGGTACCGTCCAGTGTTGCCACAACGTACGGCTTGGCTTTCCCCTTGGGACTATCCGATCCCTGGGCCATGTCTGCGATGATCTCCGTGCTGATGTTCGGGTTTCTCATCCGCGAGGCCATCAGAGGGTGGTACTCCACAGAGGACGGCAACAAGTTCTCATTTCTGAAACAAAAAACCTCTTTACTTGCTCTGAATTTTAGAAAGATAGCAGGCCGAGGTTTAGGTTTCCGAATGCACAGTTTCCGACAAATCCTATTGCACTGTAAAATGTTTAAAGGATGATAAAGATTCTTATTCTAATGCGGGTTGATAAAAGGATCATTTTTTTAAATTTTCTATCTTGGCTTGTTACTATTTTTAAATATTAAGCCTAACTTTGTGTAAAACAGATTTTCCCCTTCAAAGCCGTACAACTTCCTAAACACAGAAATCATTTATCACATGATATAAATCAGCTGTAGCCTAAAGTTTCCTTGGTCATTGGGCTTTCTTAGATGTTTTATACTCGCTACTGATACTTTTATACTGATATAGCTTGGTAGTTGTCAGGCCCGCTATAGGCCCGAGAGATTTGTACCCCCCTCCACACTTTCCTGGTATGGGAAAATCTTTCTCTTACTTGCTTCAACAAATCTCAAATCAAATGGCCTTTGGGCCCATTTACCAAAGCGGCCCTGAGTTGAGATAGTATTGTACTCATTTACGGAATAATTAAAAGGTTGCTGGTTTAATCCTCAGATCTGAAGCTATTTAGTTAGTTTGAAACTTGACTTCCTAGTCAAATAAAGAAACACTTATCATCTCATCTTAAAATCACTCTGTATTCATATTTAGCTTAAAATACGTAGATAAAGAACGTTAATGCCTTACTGTAGTCAGAGTAGTAATTGTAAACAAAAACACCAAGTAGCCTATAAAAAAAAAACACTTCTAATTATTGTACCCTAATTATAGTTTAAATCATAAGTTAGCTTATACCTTACCTTTTAATTTGCTCCCCGTCTTTGTCGACCGTGGGAGTAGGAGTGATTTCTGTGTTTATCCTCATGATGGTGCCTCCTGGTTGGGCAACTAACACCTTAGGCAAACCCTGCTCATTGCGGTTCAGTGCTATTCCTCCTACCTGGTTAGCACACTCCCATTTGAACAGACAAACAAGCCGCCCACCTGTAGCGCTTTGTACCCAACGATACGATCGAACAACTCGATCTGTGAGCCCCAGCACTAGTTCTACGTTTCCATCACCATCGACATCTTCTAGCACCATTACCTGGAAAATTTAACTTAACTGTTCAAATGTTTCTCACTAGGGTCGCAGCCGCGCTTGTCCCTTCACACATGGTGGCTCACCTTTTCGATAGAAAAATTACTCTCGTGTTATGATTCATTTGCCAAGATGGAATCGAATTTCTAGCTTTTTTTCGTTGGAGACTTTTCCTTCCTTCTTTGGTTTAGCAACAGATCGAGTAGGCAGCCTACCTACTCAGCACCTGCGACGCAGTTCTTTGGCAACCGGGTCGCTACGACCTGATAGTGTGAAGGACTCCATAAGACACAAATGCAATTTTACAGATCTGGGGGCTGACGGGAGGCATAAGGCCTAAGGCTTATTCTTGTTTCAAAGAAGAGTAGATTCTGAAGTAAGTTACTGATAAAAATGAAGATTGTTTGTAGCGTAGTTCAATCATATTTAATTAGACTTTGGATCATTTTAATACAATATTACCCTGCATTTGGTACGGAATGGAGAACAAATTAAGTTTAACCTTGTTAATATGAAGGCCTAACGGCCTAACGCAAGTTCTTGCTTTGTTGGTCAAGGAATACTCCCAGGCCTTATGTGTGACTAGTCAACATCCAACAAACACACAAGTGGTGTGCGCTGGTCTAGCCTAGAGTGCACGACACTAATAGGCTATGTTGAGGCTAAGTGGTTCAGAGCTTACCTTCAGTTACGGACCTAACTTAAGTCTAAGTTACTTAGGAAGGGAAAAAGATAGGTGTCTCAGACGGTAGGTAACTTAGTAATTTTAAAACGGTCTACAACAAACACTGCTCGCACAAAGAAACTTATTAATAAAGGTCAACTAAGTTAAGTAGACTTTTTTGACTAAAGTTATGGTACTTACGTATTATACGGAGGCCACTTATTTTACAGCGCGCTGCGGCGGTTGGGTTAAGTTGGGTTATCATAAATATGTTTGTAGAACTTTCCTAGTTTCGTTATGAATCGAACTATACGAGATGAGTCATAAAAACTTATGATAACCCAACCTAACCTAACCGCCGCAGCGCGCTGTAAAATAAGTGGCCTCCGTATAATACGTAAGTACCAAAGTTATTATAAGCTTACCTTGGTGTTTGGTGGGATTCGCTGTACGTGAACTGGCTCTAGTTTTACATTTGGTGTAATATCTTCGTTGTCCTCAGTTTTTGGATGAAGACAAAGGCAAATATGGCACCATCCATCCCCAGAAACAATTACAAGGGCGTTACTGCCACAATTCATTATGTCACCCACCCCAACTGCCGTAATCATACCAAGATTGTTTATTTTTTGCCATAATTTATCATGCTTGTAAATCATTAAATCACCATTCATGTTACCGGCAATGAGCTCAATTTCACCATCATTATCAACATCACCTAACGCTGTTGCGTTTTTAAAAATAGACCCTGAAAATTCAAACTCAAGATGATCGACAAAACACACAGAACGCATGTTTATTGTTTAGGATACACAAATTCTCCGTCAATACTTAATAGGCACACAAAGTTAGTTGGAGACTCACTCTTCAAGTTTCATCAAGATTGGTTTCCTTTCTTTTGGCACAAAAGATTTGACATTTTGCCATCTACTTGGAGGCCACACTATTGCAGTTGCTTTGGCAGATATGAGACCAAGAGACACAGGTCCAAAAAGGTTTGAGTCCATTGAGTGACCTTTATGATCACCCTCCACCCAACAGTGTCCTTCTGGTATTCGAACAAATGGGTTTTTGTATCCTTGTGTATTGATGATATCTCCCTCAAGTCCAACTATTCGTTTGATCAACTTTTGATCTGGATCTTTGGGGGACGTTAGAGCTACAACATCGCCTCTCGAAACTTCATAAAATCTAACTGACCATCGATTTAAAAATACATAATCTGTAGTGGAAGCTGGATTTGGGTTTAAAGCTGGTTGCATTGAAACACCATCTACTCTGGCAACATATCCTACAAAATCAACAAAAGTTATACCTACAGGAATCCCGAGCAAAACTGCTTTCAAAATTTGTTTCATTAATACGCTTATAATATATTTATTGAGAAGTATGTTTTAAAATAAGAATAAGGCTGATTTAACATCCGATGAAATCCGCCAAGAAACACATAACCTCTTCTCTTACCATTGGCAGTAACAAAACACAGTTTTTTTTATTTTAACGAACAGCTGAGCTAACAAAACATGACAACATAACCATTAACCAATATGAAATCAGCTGATGACTTTCCAGTTTCCAGAAAGGCTTTTTTTCTATTTGTCAAATGTGGCTGACTCCAGAGAGGGTGTATTAAATCTCGTTGTTCTCTATTTTCAGCCTTTTCTATCTTGGTGTTTCTTTTATTTTTTTTTATTTTAGTTGAATTATGAAACTAAGAAGTGGTTTTTGACTTGATTATCACAAAATGAATTTTGAATTTAGTTTTTTTCCCATTTATTTATATTATCTAACATTTTACAGTAATATAAGCATAAAATGGTATTGGCATTGATTATACATCTCCCAAGAGTGAAATTCTTTGGGAAAATATATAATCAGTGATATTGGAAATCTTCACTGTTTACTGCTAGTCCATCAAGCTGACTACCACATACTAAGTTTCATAAAGATCGGTTGGATCAATCCAAAGATAAAAAGGTTTATGTAAAAAATACAAAATGGTAGATATCTGGTTAACCAAGCGATTTTGAAAAATAAATTCTAGATTTTTCCCTTTATTTTGACCCAAGGCGGAATCACTACTACGTCAATAATTAGATAATTATTCTATGTCCCTACCCTTTTTGAACACCCTGTATAATCGTAAAGAATATTCCTCCTATTATAACATGTATTTGCGAATTTCCCTATAGACCTAGGCCGGGGACCGATTTACTTTTTCATTTTGATGTCCCCAGAGGCCAAAAACACCATTCGTTCAAATTGTTTTATATATATATATATGTCCGTCCGGACGAACTTGAGTATTTTTTGTCCGATTTTGATAAAACTTGGTTTGAAGGTGTAAGGCGGGATAAACTTGAATGAGTTGAATGAGTTCGTGAACCAGCATGATCGGACCATGGGAACGGGGTTTAACGGTGGGTTTTATGGGGAAAAAATGGGGTTTTCTAATTTTACAAATAATTTAGTATATGAAGGTGTTTTTGTGCGGCGATTGGTTACGGAGAAAATTCAAAAAAAAATTAATTTAAAATTCCCATGTTATTCTTATGGAGAATTTGATAATATGTTGTAGTTGACTTGTTTATGGATATATTTTGATCAAACTTGGCGGATTTATTTATTTCATACTAAGCTATTGATATTTTAATAAAAACCACACTTTCTTAGTTTCCCTGTAGCTGCTAACCTAGGTACTCGTTACTAAGCGAATTTCCATTTGCCTGGATTAATTGAAAATCAATCCAGGCAAATGGAAATTCGCTTAGTCGGCAGGTTTGCTGCAGCGGGGGTATTGTTTCTTATAATATATACCATATATGCTTCATTTAACAGGTAAAACAAAAAGTTAAGTTCTGAAAGTAGTTCAGTAGACGAATCGGTTTCCCTACTTTACATTGGTCTTATTTTTTAACCCCAGAAACCATAACTTTCCTTCATGAAATTTTCTAAATATTAATCCTATAACCACTGTGCAAAACTTACTGCAACAAGAAAAATGCTGAATAAAGAGAAATATTTATTTTCTTAAATTTTCTTCCAAAGGTAGATGAGGAGTATATACTTTGTCGTGGTTGGAGCATGTGCCTGACATGTGCTGCAACCTATGTGAGAAACTTGGCGTTGCGTTACGAGAGATATAATGCGGCCTTGGATATAAGCATTGACTTTATATCTGTCAATGGTATAAGCATCGATGTAAGTTTTATACATCGATGGATATAAGCTAGTCAGTTGTCAGTAGTCTGCCTCGACTACGGATCAAGTGATAAGACATTAGACGACACAACGTCCATGCTGTTACATACTGCGTTTTATAATTTAAATCTCCATATTATAATTAGGTTTCAAGATACAAATAAACTTACATACTGCTTTACATTTTAGCGAATTTCCCTATAGAAAGTAGCTATATATTACCGTAGGTGGCACGGTAAGACCTAGGCCCGGGACCGATTTAATTTTTCATTTTAAAGTCCTCAGAGGCCAAAAACACCATTAATCCAATTCATTTTTGTATATTTATATATATATATATATATATTTGTGTGTGTGTCCGTAAACACGATAACTTGAGTATTTTTTGTTCGATTTTGATTAAATTTGGTTTGAAGGTGTAAGGCGGGAATTGGGATAAACTTGAATGAAGATGATAACTATCGCTACCAATAATTTTTGTAATGGTCTTTGGCCGTTGGAATGGAAATAAAATAAGTTCGTGAACCAGCATTATCGGTCCATTGTAACAGGGTTTATGGGGGGGGTTTATGGGGTGTTTTTTTCTCATTTTGACCCTCAAAACATAACATTTCCCAATTTATCTCTAGACCTTCTTAAAGAGCGTAAAAAACCAAATAATTCAGTATATCAAAGTGTTTTTGTACGGTTATTGGTTACGGAGAAAACTCAAAGATTTTTAAATATAAAATTCCCATGTTATTCTTATGGAGAATATTGTAAAATGTATTAAAATGTTGTAGTTTGCTTATTTATGGATATATTTTGGTCAAACTTGTCAAATTAATTGTTTTGCCGTTACGTTAATACACCCAAATAAGGGTTGTTGGGGGTAACTCAAAGTGTTTAAATAGCAACCCCTATCAAGTAGCACATAATTTTAAAGGCCATTGGTTTAAAAGAATATCGGCGAAACCCAGAGGTGACTATCTCAACCCATTACAGCATTGTGGCCATTTTTCCATCAGCCTGAGAGAGCCCATCTAAAAATATACACCAACATCACTACTTATTAGCGTTTTTATGACCAGGGAAACTAAACTCATTTTTATCGTAACAGGAAAGTAAATCTACTTTTTGATCAGTATGACAATTTTCCCCGGGACCCCAAAACGGGGTATTTGGGGGCAGCTCAAAAGTTTTAAATATAAAGCCCCATTAAGTAGTAACACCTCAATTTGAACAACTCTAATAGGTGATATTGGTGTTTATTTTACACGGGCTCTCAGGCTGATGCAAAATAAAAAATTCCGCCATTATGTAGTGGGTTGAGATAGAGACCTCCGTTCCGTTCAAAAATCAACCAGGAGGGGGACTATTATGGGACACCCGGTATAACTTCTTGATCATCATTCACGTGTCATTAAATGATCTTAGAGTACATACATGTCTAACAACACTTGGAATGTATTTACACTTAAACTGTTGACTCACAAGACGGTACATATAAAAGACGTTAAGGTGGTCATTAATTTCGATTGGACACTCCAATCGAAATCGATCACTATGTTAAGTGTTATTAGGCTATTTCCCCCTATTTGTTGTACTTTCAGTATAAAGATGACTCTGTGTCTCAGCAGAAACGGCGCTAAAGTAGAAAATATCAAATACAACACTGTATTATAAAACTAAGTCAAATAAATGCACATTAGAGAAAAATATATATGATTTAAAATACAAAGACGTTAAATCAGAAAATTCATAAGTATTGTAAATTATCTTATAATTTACGCATATTAAAAATTACAGTCATGATACAATGTATGATATATTTTACTTGCTTAGTAGTAAGTGTTGATTATAAACCTTAGTCTACTATAGGCAGTTTAAGGTCAGTAATTACACCCTAACACTCAATAAAATTTAATTTTTTAACACGAATCAATTCTTACATCAAGTGATTAATACACAGTAATCGTCACTGTAGATAATCGCAATAATTCCGACATAAAATTACAGTGTTCAGCAGAAGCGTATCTACAAACTGAATCCTCGGAATTTTGTCGTAAACACACGTATTAACAGACTTCATAAAAGTTAAGGGTTGCAAAGCCATCACCCGCCCCCCCCAACCATCAACACACACGGAATGCTCCATTGCCAGCGAGGCGGCCGCCACTTACTTATAATTTGCTAAATGCATCCCTTTTCAATTTGCGGATTCGGTTAGGGAAAACTCCCTTCTCTATAAATCACTCATTTCCGACCCTCACTTCCATTTTCCGCTCGCCGCGCCCCCTGCAGACTCCAGAACTAACTAATTTGCCCCCCCCCACGACTGTATCGCACGGTCCCAGCCTCTGAATAAATATAATGAGTACCAGGTGCTCCAGGATAGCATGGCTGCAAATTAAAGTTGGTTAATGAAACTCCCTTTTATTGCGTCAGATTTATGTTTCACCGTTGGTTAAGTCCGAGATAAATGTTTGGAGATTCTCGCAGTTGATTTTGTTTCTGAGTTTTTGTTTTGGAACTACTTGAACATAAGTATGGATATATTTGTGAGTGTTGTCTATTGGAAAATGTACACTGTTTATGCGAAACCAAAATATGAATACGGAAACATAACTGGTTTACTAGACAAGGCTATCTGCAATTAGTATGGTTTCTTAACTGCATACCGGTACTGAATAGATAAAAAATGGTTAGCCTATAGCTATGGTTGGCTATGTATGTAGCGTATTCCAATCATAATTGTGCATAGTTTAACGAGGTTTACTAATGCATTTAATGAACGCCTTCATAAAATGTTATCAATTACTTTGACATAAACATCAGCTAAACAATATACACATAAACAAGTTGAAATGTTATTTAGGGGCTATCATGCCACCTTTTCTTTCTCCCTCTTTTTATTCCACGGTAAAAATGTGGTTAGTTTTGGTTAAATTTTACCAACAGTAGATTTCAAGCAACACATTCTAGCTGGACGGAAACATACGATAAAAATATTAAATATTAATTATCTCCACCTTATTCATTTAAATAACAAAAGTATACAGTTTTTTAGTTTTTCCTGTTTGATTTTTAAATCTGATATTACAAGTTCCCAAAGGATCTCAGTAAACACACTTAACCAAACGTTCGCAATTAAAAAGGCAGTGGTATAAATAAGAGTTTCGTGTGAACTGAGGGTGAATGATGGCAGTGGGTCCTGGTGACACTGCCTTGCTGATCCGAGAAATTATGACACAGCCGACTGGATATCATCGATGCTGTAAAAACT